ATCTATTAAAATTTGTTACAAATTTACTATTTTTGTAATATTTATTATATAACTGTATTTTAGTATAAGCTAATTTAACTGTATTATTAATTATATTTTTATTTAATTTAATTCAAGTTAAACCTAATTTAAATTAAAACTAACCTAAATTTGGTTCAACTTAAATCAAATTTATATTAAAACTAATTTAAATTTAGTTAATTTGAATCTAATTTAGTTAAATTTAAATTAAATTAAAATGTTATTACAAATAAATTCAATATACTATAAATAATTTGAATTTAAAAAAATCAATAAACTGTTAATTTATAAAAAATTAGCATCTTTTAACAAATTTAAATATATAAAATTTTTTATACAATTTTAATTTATTTAACTATATGTAGCTTTTGTTTACTTATATACAAGGTCAAATTTATATTACTTCTTTGTTAAAATTTTTGAATATAGAATTATATAAATATAAAATACAAAATTTTAGTTTAAGTTTGAATATTTACAAAATATAATAATACAAAAAGTTAATTTTTATTTTTTTTTACTTAAAATTTGTTATTAAAAATAAACTAATTTATATATATAACTTTTTTTTATACTATAAATACTATAAAGCTTGTTGGTTATTACAATATAAAATAAACTCGGTTTAGATCACAGATAAAACTGTCTGAGCTTTAATTCTTGCATGTAATTTTTATTTTGTAGTTTACAATCTTAGTATATCTTAGTATATAGTATATTAATATGTACAACTAAAATTACTAATAAAGATATGAGCAAGGCCTCACCTTAATACCAAAAAAAAAAGAATATAAAATAAACTTTGAATAATTATTTAAAAATAATAACTTTGATAATAAAGTTTAAACTAGCTATAATATTAATATTAGTAATAGTTATAGTAATAATTTTCTTGATTTTTTTTAATAGTAGTTGTAATATGATTTTACTTAAACAAGCATTATTAAATAATAATAATATAATTACAATAAACAATAATTTTTTTAATTTTTTTAATAGTAGCTGTAATATAATTTTATCTAAACAAATACTTTTAGCTATTAATAATATAGTTATAATATATAATAATTTTATTAACCTTTTTAATAATGACTATAATATAATTTTTCTAAACAAGCATCTTCTATCAATAATAATTTTCTTAACTATTTTAATAATAATTATAGTATAATTTTATTTGAACAAGCATTTTTAATTAGCAATAATACAGTTATAGTAAATAATAATTTCTTTAATATTTTTAATAGTAACTATTATATAATTTTATCTAAATAGATATAATAACCTAGTGAAGTGGTCAGGTGTCAATTCTTTAAGTAGTAGATTGGGTGTTTAAATCCTATCAATAATAAAAATTTGAATAATCACCTATGTAATATTTGTATTATAGCAACTATTACTAATGATTAAGTTAGGATATTTGTAATAGCAGTTACACTAGCATAACTGACAAATCATAAGGCATATATATAACCTGTTATACAGAAAAATGCAAACTGACAAATCAGGCAGTGCAAATACTAAATAAGTCCTTGTAGCCATATAAATTCATTGAAATTGGGTAACAAGAAGTCTATTTAAGAAGACCTGAGTAGAGAGGTAGCCAAATTTTTGATAGTCCTACTATAAAAGCTAGTCTGAAAAAATGGATACCAAGGTTATAATACCTGGCATAGTAGCTAGATGGCAAGAATCTCTGATTTGAAAGTCTTAGAGATACTACTAACTAGAGTGTATACTTATTTGTACTGGTAATACAAACTTAAAAAAGTAATAGATCATTGATATAACAAAAATTTATTTTTATTGACTAATTTGCAAAAGTTTTGATTGCTTAAACTAAGATAATAAATAACTTGCTTAAAAAATATATTTAAATTTAAATTAAATATTTATACTAACAATCAATTAGGTTTTGCTATTTTAATCATTTTCACTAACTATTATATATCAAAGACTTCTCACTCTTGATTACTTTTCAAACTTTGTTTTTTTTTTTTATAGCGATAACATTTCCAAAATCAGTTAAATAAAAAAACAGAATTTTTTTATGCATATTTCATAATAATCAAATACAATTATTAGCATTTAATAAATTGTTATTGTTAAAAAAAAATCTGTTAATTAAAAAAAATTGGGCACACAATTTGATAATAAATTCTTAATCTTATTAAATAGATATATTAAATTATTATAATAAATATATTCAAATAAAAAATATATAAGTTTCAAAACATATATATTAAAGATTTAATATAATAAGCAAACTAATTGTTAGTACACAAAAAAGGTCTAGAGATGCTCTGACTAAAATCAGAATTTTATTGTGTTATTAAGTATGTATATACAATATTCATATAAATTTGTTAATTGTTTAACATAAAGAAACAATTCAAATATGGTATATAATAATGGCAATTCATAGACAGAAATTCGTCTGATTGGCTAATAAATTCAATTTATTTTACATTATTTATACAGTTTAGAGTACTTTTAAAAAAAATGAAACCAATCACAATAATGTAAAAAAAAACTATAAGGACTCTATAGTCAAAAATAAGAGCTAATTCTCATACATTTAAAAAAATTAGCTTAGTAATAAGCTAATTTTATCAGGTTTTGAAAAGTTATTACTATACTAACTTTTTTAAATGAATGAGAATTAGATCTTATTTTTAACTATGAAGTCCTACAGTTTTAATGAAACCTTATATACAGCTTTTTTTATTTCATTATGATTATTTTTATTTTTTTAAAAAGTACTCTAAACCATATAAATAATATAAAATTAAATTGAATTTATTAGCAAATCAGACAAACTTCTGCTTATGAAGTGGCAATACACTGATTCTAAATCACAACTACATAATGTAAAAGTGAAACATACACACATTATAAAGAGTAGGAGTGTTTAACTAAATTTAGTAAAAATCATAATGAAGATAAAGTTTCAAAATAGTGGGTTGTGATGCACTTACTATAAGTGCTGAAGATGTTTTGTATGCAAATTTGAACAACAGAAATAAATTAATAAAATAAAAGTGGCAAAATAAAATAAACTTATCATAAAAATTCTTAATACATGCAAAAAAAAAAAACAATCAATATAAGTTAATGATTAGTAAAAAATTAGAGTAATAAAAGTAAGGTTGCTAGTAAAAGCTGCATTAAACAAATTTCTATATGTATAGATAGTAGCAAGTTTGCTAAAATATTTGATACATAATATTCTTTAAAATTATTAGCAATAACTTGTAATTTAATATAAACTTACAGACTTACAGTTCTTCATATTATCTGATAAAATTTGGTATTTATTTTATTTAGGTTTAATAAGCATTTTTAAGCAGTATAAAACTGCATCAGTAACAAGAAACTCAAGTAATATAAATAGGTTATCTCACAATAATATATTTCAAAAATATAAATTATTTGTCAGTTGCATCATATAGATCTAGAAAATAAAAATCTAATCAATATAAAAAGGCTTAATTAATATGTAAATTGATTGGTTTTAATGAAGTTTTTGATTATAATAACAATAAAAAAAGTAAAAAAACCATCTCAGATATAAAAAGGATATATTATTCTAAATAATTCTATCATGCTTGCTTGTATTTATATTGCATAGCATTGTTAAAAATAGAATACACTCCAGAGTTTGATGCTGAAGACTATGCTAATGATCAAGAAGCATGTTTAGAAGAATTATTCAATCACTTTGATCAATTTGCAGAACATCTTTAAGATAATAATAATATTGATACTAACTAATTACCTGCTGGTGCAGTTTTGATTAAACATGACAAAAACTCTTCCTGTGGTAAACCTGCTAAAGAAATTGAATACAGTATTCTAACAAAAACTGATTTTTATAAATGGGTACAAAAATTTGAAAAATTAACAAGAACAACCTATGTGAGGCGTATTATTGAATGAAATCAAGAAAATGTAATTTTACAAATTACATATAAATGTCACCATGCTGGAATCTATAAAAGTACAGCTGGTAAAGACTAATTAATTAAAGAACTATGCTCCAACCAAAAAGAGCCAAAAAAATGTGACTGCAAATCAAGTATAATTGTTACTAACACAAATATATGCAATGGAATACAAATAATTATAAAGTATACTTCTCATACTAATCACATTCCTGGCTCTGACAAAGATATTGGTATTTTAAGACTCTCTAAGAAGGTTCATAATTGGATCGCTGAACATATTAGAGATGGATTAAATGTTAAGGAAATTAATAGGTTATTTCAAAAACAGGTCCAGTATATGTCAAATATCTGGAAAAGTCAAAACAAAAAAAATGCTATTAATATTTGGAATAATCTTGTAACTTATGACAATATATATAATGTTTGGAAAAAGATAATTATAGAAAGTCAAATAAAGCATAAATCAGAAGAACAAAGTATTGAATTATGAAGAATAGAACTTGATTAGAAAAAAGACCTTACTTGTGCAATCCCAAAAGCAAAAGGCAAATTTCAATGTTTCTAATCTTTTTTAAATATCTTATTTTAATTTTTTAATTATTATTATTATTATTATTATTTTATTATATTTTTTAATTTTTAGGTAATAGCGAATTTGATAAAGGCAAGCTTATTGAATTCACAGTCCCACTTTGCAAAGAAATTATTAATGAAGTTTCTGTTATTCTTCTTGATACAATACATGAAACAAATAAATATAAAGATTTATTATATATTTTTCTCTTATCTGATCCTAAAACTGAAAAAGAAATTACACTTGCTCACCTAATTTCATCTTGTAAAAACTTCGAATTTGTACAATACTGGCTTCAGAATCTCTATATTTAGTTTCCCAAATTGAAAGGTCCTACTGTATTTTTTGTAGATTGTGATCTTGCACAAATTAAAGCACTTTGTGTAGTGTTTTCAGAAAGTAGAATCTTGCTGTGTTGGTGGCATGTGTCAAGAGCTTGGTGAAAAAATTTGAAAAAGATGAGTAAAGACCAAGCCCAATTATTAGGATGTAAACTTACAATTGCTGAAAAAAAATCATTAGAGAGTAAGCTTTTTGAAGATCTAAAATACTTAATGAAGATTGATAATATAAGTATTGTTGAAGAAATACTAATGGCTTTTTTAGAAAAATGGAAGCATTTAGTAACATTTATTATTTACTTTAAATGGCAATGGTTAAATAAACCAAATGAATATAGTAATAATCATGGTATTAATAAAGTTATGTTGATTAATGCTTATTGTACTAGAATTCTAAGAATAATGAGCATGACAAATATGCTTGAGTCTTGGCATAAGCATCTTAAATATAATAATTTTGAAGGAAAAATAAATAGGCATATTGATATCTTGATTTATGAGTTATATGTTGTAATGGAAGGTGATGCATAGCAACAGTGATATCTTGCAGATGTTCGAGCAGAACATATGATGCTAGCAAAAAGAGAAATTCGTAAGAGACAAATTAAAGCACAAAACTTAATAAATACAGTACTAGAAAACACAACTGATAGATACTATTAAACTGTAGCTTCAGAAACAACACCAGGTGTTAGGTACTGTATAGAGAAAAAAATTGAATATAAGCAATTAGAAAGACAATTTTCTTGCTTCTGTATAGATTTCTATACTCATCAACTTCCATGCAAACATATTTATGCCATCATTATTTGCTACTTTTCTTCATATTTAAAAAATATTGAACTTCTTCACCAACAACTTCAATGAACACAACAACCATAGCAGCAACTTACAGCTAAAAAGCTTATTTATAATATACAAAAATTGACTAAAAACCTTTAAGAACTTGATGTCAGTTCTTTGCAAGTTATTTATAACCAACTGTCTTGAGTTATTAAAGATGTTCACAGGCTAGAAAAGACTTTTAAGATAGGTAATTGGATAAGTAAAGGTCAAAATATAAAATTTCCAACAAATAAAAGTGTTGAAAGGCAGCGAAGATAATATAAGTTTTGTATCTTATACCTTTAACTTTTTAATTATTTATTTTTTCTTTTTTTTGAGTTAAAGTCCCTGTTTATGGGAGTTGATGTTTTTATTCATATATTTGAACACAGGTGCCTCTAGGGGCTTCCTTACATTGGAGGTTACAACTAGCCACATGTGCACTTTTGGTGCCTAATTTAAGTAGTCCACCTATACATTACTATACAGGTTCTACACTAGGTGCCATACCTGCA